CCTTCATTCTACCCAATCATGCCACTTCACTCCCTTAACTCTTTACATGAGTTCGGAGATTTACTTGTCCGTTTTCAACACCCCTCCAATGTAAATCAGTCACATTATTCACGCGATGCCATAAATTAATTTATTTTTATATAAAAAAATAAATAAAATTTAAAGATATTAAATATTTTTGTAAAGTTATATCTAAAATTTTTAGATTTGATTGTAATATCTGATTCAAAAATAATATTTATAATATTAATAATAATATTAAACTTACATGACTTAAATTTAAGTGGGTTTGAATGCAATACCAGATTCAATAACTTTGAATGTGGGTCTAGTTATAAGATCGTGTCATAAAAATGTGATAATTAAATAGATTAATAATAAAAAAAACCAACAGGAAAAAAATAATAATAAAAAATTCTAAATTAACTGGGTTAACCCTTCAAATCATGTTAATTATCTAAACCAGAGATTCACGTCATGAAAATTTGATAACTAAATAGAAAACAATTGACTTATCATCTAGGTTAAACCATTAAACTAAGTTAACCCGTCAAATCTGGAATACGTGTTATGAAAGTCTGATAATTAAATAGAAAGAAATTTAACATTAACAAACTAAATTAAATGAAAAAAATTAATTAAAAGAAAAAAAGCAAAGCAAAAATTTTAGGTTAACCCGTCAAATTTGGAATCTGTATCATGAAAATATGATAACCAAATAAAAAATGAGCATTAACAAACTAAATTAAAAAAATTATTAAAAGAAAAAAACACAAAGAAAACATATAAAAAAACCCATAAATGCATCAAAAATGGAAAAAAAAAAGAAAAAGAAAAAAGAAAAAAAAGACATCTCATAGTATTTTACTTGATGTTATTATTATTATATTATTATAAGTATAATTATATCCCGGGCTTCGCGGGTTAACTTGGTTTAACCCAATTCATTATTGGTAAACTCGTTAATTTTTTTCTATTTAATTATCTAACTTTTATGACACGAATCTCAAGTTTGACGAGTTAACCTAGTTTTTTTCTTCATTAGTTTTTTTTTCTTTCTGTTGGTTTTTTTCTTTATTTTTTTCTTTTTAATGAATTTATTTAATTATCATATTTTTATAACACAACCTTATAGCTATACCTACATCCAATGCTCTTGATTTGGTATTGCAGTCAGACTCATTTAAACTTAAATCAAGTAAGTTTAATATTATTGTTAATATTATAAATATTACTTGTGTCAATCGTTGCAACTAAACCCAAGACTTTGAGTATATCTTTGTAGAAAGACCTAATACTCTTAGATCTTAACTTTTTTTTATGATATTTTTATGCAAAAAAAAATAAATCCGTGACTCATCCCTTTGTTTTTTTTTC